GGAGCGCGCGGGGGCGGGTGTGCAAGGGCGCGGGCGCGCGCGCGGGTGTGTGCGTGAGTGCGCGTGCGCGCGCGTGCACGAGCGTGTGCGGGTGTGCGCCTGCACGCGTGTGCACGCCCGTGCACGAGTATGTGCAGTTGTGCAATGAAAGTGCACGCGTGTGTGCGTGCATGTGTGCGTGCATGTGCACGAGTGTGCACGCTTGTGCGGGTGTGTACACTGGTACGTGAACATGCACGCTTGTGCATACGTGTGCACACGCTTCTGCGTGAGTGTGCATGCAGGTATGTGCACTTGTGCATGAGTGTGTGCGCTTGTGCGGGGGGGTGTGCAACTGTGGAGGTGCGTGCGCCCTTGTGCACACGCGTGTGCACTTTTGCACGCGTGTGTGTGCTGCGCAGTGGTGCACGCTGTTGTGTGTGAGCTTGTGCATGCGCGCGCGTGCGTGTGCATGCTCCTGCTTGTGCATACCTGTGTAGTTGTGCCTGCATCCATGTGGGTGGTAGCACGTGTGCTCACACGCGTGTGCAGGTGCACATGTCCCCTGGATGGCAGGGGCAGGGGGACCGTGTGCGCTTGTGCCTAAGCAAATGCAGTGCCCACGCGGGGAGAGGGTCCCACATTCCGGGGGCTGCAAAGCAGCAACAAGAAAAAAACACTTTCTGCTTTAATCTTAAAAAAAAAAAAGAACCTGCTCACTTCAACTTTGCAASCACACAATGCCTGCTGAGACCTTGCATGCTCAGCACACACTTGTCCTGATGGGGAAACCACCAGAAGAAGGGTCAAAACGGGAGCAAAACGTCCCGCCGAYGCTGTTTTTTTTCCCCCCGATGTTTTCTTTGCTTTAGAGGAGTGGGAGCGACGGCGCGAGGGGCCGCGGGGGCCGCCGGGGCTGGACGTGAGAGCGCGCACGTCCGCCGGCTCCTCCCAGCCCCCCGTGCCGCCGCCCGGCCGGGCCCCACCGGGGGTCCCAAGCCCTGGCAGCGGCAAGAGAAGGACAATAAAATAAAATAAAATAAAATAAAATAAAATAAAATAAAATAAAATAAAATAAAATAAAATAAAATAAAATAAAATAAAATGAGCAAAAACACTTCTCTGCACATGAGCAAGAACCCTGTGAAGCGTTATTCCTTGCACCAGGCTTTTTCCTTCTCATTGCATTTTTTCCCCCCTACAAATCGGGGGGTAAAAAGCAAGAAAATAATGGGGTCTGGATTAAGCGGAACTGCACAGGCATAGAAATCACAGCAGCTCACACCCATCACGGCCCTGCCATGTGGGGAGGGGATGAAAATATGTTCAAAGGGAGGCCTAAAACTATGGGGGGAATCTGCAGAGTTTGGGGCAGCTTGGAAACTTCTCCCTTTTTTTAAAAAATATACATATATATATATGTATATACTATTATTTCTTCTCTCTTTTTTTCTCTCTTTTCTCTTTTCTCTTTTCTTTTTTTCTTTCTCTCTTTTTTCTTTTTTCTTTTTTTCTTTTCTCTTTTTTTTTCTTTTTCTTTTTTTCTTTCTTCTTCTTACTTTTTTTCTTTCCTTCCCCTTCGCCCTTTTGCCGTTTCCCCGGCAGGGAAACGCGGGGAAAACGGGTGCCGACAAGACCTGCTGCCTGATGAATCGGCAAAGGCCGGGCTGGAGACGCCGGGGCGGCCGCGCTGCCTTGGCCACAATGGGCAAGTGCTGATGGCAGCGAAACCGGCCGTGCAGCGGCAATAATCTCCGCTTGGGCTCCATAAGCTGCCGCCTCGGGGCTTACGGCAGGATTTAGGGTGTATTTTGCTAGGCCATTCCTATGGGGTCGGGGGCTGGCGGGGGGAAAAAATAATATCCCCGAGGTCTGGCATTTTTTTTTGGCCTTGCAGGTGTTGGGGCCGTCTCCGGCACAGCAGGAATGTGGTCTTGCCCAGCCGAATGTGGCACGGCTGGGAAAGATGAAAGAAGTGATTTAGACCCTTTAAAATTTTTTAAAGTTAAAAAAATAATTAAAAAAAGGAAAAAAGAGAAAAAAAAAGATTTTGATGATTCCTCGGAATGGAAAAGAGGTGAAAAAAGGGAAAAAGATTTCGGCCTGGCTCCCTAAATATCTACAGCTCTATCCCCATGGAGCCAGTAGATCCACATGGCAGCAGCTGGGGCAACATGGGCAGTGTGGAAGCCAAGTCCAGAGCTGCTCCTGCACCCCAAAACTGGGAATTTTGGCAGCTTTCCCAGCCTACATTCCCCTCTCCAGCTTTGAAACGTGGGGAAAGTCATTGTCCTCCATCCATGGAGAGTCACTGAGAGGTCTTAGGCCCTAACTCCCCAAATTAATAAGCAGCGTGGGGGGTTGCCAGCTCCTCCCTTTTTTTTTCTTACATTTTTTCCCTCTTTTTCTGCTTGTTCCTCCCGCTCGAGGTCGAGGAGTGCTGAGGCCGCTGAACCTTGGCTGAAGGCCACACTGATAGGGGCTCGGCCCCGAACCCTCCGGAAAGGGGCCAAAAAAAAAAAAAATAAAAAAAATAAAAAAAAAAAAAAAAAAAAAGGCGGATTAACCCCTCTTTCCCCACAGGGAATTCAGCACCCCTCCAAACGGTCCCTCGCGCGCCCGGGCTTGCTGCCCGCCTACGTCACGCCGCAGCAATGCGCCCTGCCCCGGCACGCGGCGCGCTGCCCGAGCCCCGAGCAACTCGGCGCACGGCTGCGCCGCGATGCCCGCGCCACCGCGCCGCTGCAATTTAGGGGTTTTGGCTTTGTTTTGCTTTGCAAATTTTGCCGGAAAAAAAAAAAAAAAAATCCCAGGCACTTCCCACTCGGCCCCTTTGCACCAGTGGCCCCTCGGGCACCCTCGAAGCTGAAAGCTTTGGGGAAATCCATCCCCATCCCAGGCCCGGCACGTTCCCCCTTTGCCCTCCAGCTGCTTTTGGTTGCGTTCATGGGGATAAAAGGGAATTTTCGCAACGCTGCCGGCGGCCGGACTCGGCGCTCGCCTATTTTCGCAGCCCCCCGCCGCGAAGGTTTTCGCATCTCTTCCCTTGGCCAGGCCGGAGACTTCCTCCGCCTCGGCCTCGCTTCCTGCCCCGGCTGTTTATTCCCTTCCCGCTGCCCATCCCGGATTTCTTTGTTCGGTCTGTGGTAATTTTCCACTCCGGCCGAACACGGCCGCGGCACCGGGGTCTGGCGAGGGTCAGCGCCTCGCAGCTGCCATCATCCTTTCTTCTTTCTTTTTTGGGTGCAAAAAAACCCTAAATCCATCATATTTTCATCCAAAAAATCACAGGATGTTTCTAGCCACCAGGCTTGGGCGTTGCTGCCTTTTTTTTTCCGGCAAAGACCCTTTTTTGGTCCAAAAAACATCACCAAAGCACTGATTTATATATAGCCATTTATATATAGTCACATACACATATATATAGTCCTATACAGATAAGTATATCTCTGTTTGCTTAGCGAAGGCTGAGCCCTGGTGCCACTCGTGACACATGCCCAGGTGCAGGCCCCAGCGGGCCCCAAGGCGGTAGCGGGAAAGCAGCATTTTGCCCCAAATCCAGGGCCAGCCTTGCCGGGAAAGGCCTTTCCTAAGGCGCTCTAATCCGCGCAGCCTTCAGCCCCTCGCTGCCGGCATTAACATTTTTGGGATATTATCCGTGGCTGTCATGGGACCTGTCGAGCCTTTACAAGGGATTTTTTTCTTTCGGGATACTTGCRTTTTTGCAGGTTTTTTTTGCCCCACTCTTCCCGTAAGGAGCAAAATCCCAGAGTGGCCGGGAAAATCCCGCGCGGGGCATCTGCAGGGTCAGGAAAATTCCAGGTGGGGGCTGGCTCTTTGTCCCAGCCATCCCGCAGGAAGCGCCCTGGCCGTCGGGATGCTCATTGTGCCGCCCAGCTTCCCGCTCCGAGAGCCGGGAACAACGCGGGACAACAAAGCGGCCGGTGTCCCCCGCTGCGCTGGGGCCGGCTTGGGGCTTGCGGGACATCCAGGCCAGCGCTGTCTAGCTGGGGCACCCATCACTAGCCCGGTGTTGCACATCGCTAGCCCACTATTGCATGTCCATAGCCCAGGGTTGCATGTCCCTAATCTGGCACTGCACATCCCTAGTCCAGCGTTGCACGTTCCTAAGCACACGTTGCCCATTTTTAGCCCGGTTCTGGACATCTCTAGCCCAGTATGGCCCRTTTCTAGCCCGGCATTGCAAGTTTCTAGCCCAGTTTTGGGCATCTCTAGCCTTGCATTGCATGTTCCTAGGCCAGCACTGCACATCTCTAGCCCGGTTTTGGACATCTCCAGCCCAGCAATGCACAGTTTTAGCCTGGCTTTGCCCATCTCTAGCCCAGCTTTGCATATCATGAGTTCGGCGTTGCAAATCTGAGCCTGCTATCAGGTATCTCTAGCCCAGTACCACAGTCCTCTCGCCTGGCCATGCACATGCACAGCCCTGCACATCTTCAGCCCAGCCCAGTGTTGCAAGTCTCTAGCTCAGTTTTGCTAATTACCAGCCCAATATCACACTTCACTAGCCAGGTACTGCAGATCTTAAGCCTGACGTTGTAAATCTCCAGCCCGATCCTGTACAAAAGCAGATGGTGCAAGAAAGACGGTGCAAAATGAGGCAGTGATAGAGGAGCTAAAACCTTGAGAGCGGCAGGGGTGATGCCCCCATCTCCTTCACTACAAGACACCTGGCCAGGATCAGGGTCTCTAGCTGCAGCTGGAGCCCTGAGGCTCCTTCC